TATAGAAGCACATTCTAAAATGTAGAATCACGTTCAATCACTCATTATATCTTAGTCTCAGTAATACTGAATTATTAGATAAAAGATTTCCATCTTTCAATACAAATTTCTATTCTACTTTTGAACATTTTTCTAATCTGCAATCATAAATGGTTGTTTGTTCTTGGTACTCATAAATAAGATTGTACAGCCTTGGTAAATGATGTTGTTGGAGAGGAAATTTTATTCTTTGAATAGTATTCTTTCTTCCTAACAATACACTTCCTCAATCTGGAAGTTTGTGTAAACTTATTAATTGATTTCATGTTGGAATTCATTATGGACCAACATAAAATGGAGGAATATTGGGAATCAGGGAGCACTGGACAACTGCTTCATCCTAGAATGACGCCTCTGTGAGTCGAATCCTGGACCTTCAGTTTCCATCGTCAGCTCGTTTCCAATGATCCACCCGGTCAGAATCCAATAGTATGAAGAAGAGTCCCATACTAGGACGAAACACATATTCAGTGTTTCCAGGTTCTCAATGTTCCTCTAACTGTTGTCGGCCAATGATTAATTCCAAGCAGAAATACACTTCTTCACTAGGCTCAACAAGTAGTCGTAGGATGATGTAAGATTGCAGTGAATCTTTCATCAATGTACATTCTGCAAATGTTTCATTATATCCTAATTCAATATAATTCACACCATAGGCAATAGGATTTTAAGGGATCTGTGTTAATTTTTATATTTGTTCAATGTTAAATTTGATGTAAATTTGTTTTAAAACACATAGGAATTACTTTTTGTATTGTTAGGCAGCAAAACTTGTAGGGAAAGATGTAAATGTTAAATCAGTCATGGATACATGGATGAAACAAATGAATTATCCACTTGTTATTGTTCAACGAATCAATAATGGTCTATTTCAATTTGAACAAAAACACTATTTAGAGCCACCAGATGCTAAAGCAGCAAAAAATCCATCACCATATAAGTGAGTGAACTTCTCAGCTTTACTTATATTAATATCAACATTCTATCTAATAAGTGAGATATAGAGATAATTTATGCTAATAGTTTATCTGAAGTTTGATAAATAGAATCATTTTATGGATGAAAAATATGATAAAACTTGCTTATGAATAAATGTAGAGAGAAATTATGATAACGATCGATATATATGAATTGGTAAATTTTCTACTTCATCAGTAGTGATAAAAAGGTAATTTCTGGAAGAAAATCAGCTTTCAATTCGTATTGCTTAGAGTTTCCTAAAAAGCTGAATTCATATTACTAATAGGGTCATTTAAATCTGTGTCTCATTACATACAAATCAGCTTCTTCATGAGTGAGTAGAGGAAACATTCAAATTCCTAGTGACATTATACATCAAAATCTGTGTGTTTTACTTTTCACAAGATTATATAATCAATCAACCGTGAACACACTTAGTAGAATCTTCTTCTATCACGATGCTGATTTGGTAGCGTATAAAACAGACAACAAGTTTGATGATGCTTCAGTATACTGGTAAACTTGATAATTATTTTTCAATTTCTTCTACTTTCCAAACGTCTGGTTTCATCTCAGAACTTAATGAGCGAAGTACACTTATGATATTATAGGTAGACTTTCGTGAGCAGTTGATTCCGGGACATGAGGTTCGTCATATTTAGGACTTGTCAGCTAGATGCGCACCTGCCTCTCAATGACAGATATACTTATAACCAAGACTAGAACACGAGACTAATCTCTTCAAACAACAGGATATTATTTACCAGACTATCGGGTCACCACAGTGAAATCATAGAAACGGATTTATACCGCAATCAATTTTTCTCTTGATAATTGATGAATTTAAAGATTTCTGTTAAATCACTTTGCCTATTACCTAACTCCAAATTTAGTCAATCTGTTGGTCATAGGCAACTGGCTTCAAGATGTGATTCCCGAGATTCTAATTAGAAGTCATGACCAGTAGGGCCAACAAAGTCGAATATGAAGACAGCTGCTCAAAGATTGCACTGCATTCACGTCATACTTTATTATTAACTGAAAGAAGTATGACACATAATGACCATCGGATTGCAACTCAGTGACTCAATGGTGATGTGTTGGCCACAGAACCTGAACTTTCTGGGTTGGATTCCTGGTAGGATTGTGGGTGCGCACTTCTGATGAACCTCATACTAGAACGAAGAAGTTGTCTAGTCCTCCCAAGTTTTAAATGTTTCTTTAATCGATGTCAGTCCTTGAAGAGTATCACCTTGAAATGAATAAATCGTTCGGTATGTAAAAGGATAAATTAAGGTCATCTAATCTTAGTAAGGCTAATGCTCAACTCCTACCACATACACCAATGAAATTCTTCTTAGACAATATCTTGGTAAGGCTTGTTTTTATGCATTTGTTTACCACTTAAATTGCTTATCCCATATTGTAATACCCAGTTGAGTAATGTTTCCATTTTCAGCTTCACTTGGAAAATACCACTGACATATGGATCATCAAAGACTAATAATTGGGATGAAGCAGATGTTATTTGGATGATGAACAGTAAGTGATACATTGTGTATTCTCACCAATCCGCCGATGTATATGATACATAAAGTTTGACATTTCGTTAACATACAAAAGTATAGAATATGAAACGTTGATTAGACTGATATGAATGTATCGAGGCATCCACACAGGAGCCCATCTGCCGACAGCGGTCGACTAGTTCAACCCTGTATAGCAACTGGAACTTACAAGTATGATTACAATAACTGAGACCCTTTGCACACGAAGTAGCTATCGTGCCTCAGTGGCTTTGTGGACAATGCGCTTGGCGTTTGAAGAGAAGGGTTTTGAGTTCGAGCCTCTGCGAGAACGGTATCACTCACCGGAGTGCAGGTACGTCCAGCTGACAGGTCCCAATAGGAGGGAACCTGCGTCCTGAGTTCCTCCGCTAGTCACCAAATTCATTATGATATGTAAGTAGTTATATGCAGAGGAATGTGAACACGTGAAACCTTGTTGTATAGATGCTCAATATGAACACTGAGTGAATGGATGGAGTCTGTTGGCTGTATCCTATGTTTGGGAATTTGGATAAAACGACTGAGAAAGATATAGGACAAAACGATTTCAACATCAGTTATGATGATTTCTGACTGTCGCTTACTGCATACTGGTACAATTAAAGAATGGTGATGATTGACATTTTCTTCAAAATGGTAAATGAAGAGCAGTTGGTTTCAGTTCAGTGAAATGTTTTAAAATTGGATAACGAAATTCCCATATGAAAGTTCATCTCTAAATACTACCACAGAACGTCAGTGAGACCTATGAAGATTAAATGTTGTTGCTTTCACTACTTATAAATAATTGAGTAGTCCAATGTCTAAAATGGTTATCGTAACCCATTAAGGAGGACTGTTCAAGCATTAACTTGTATATTTCAAAGAGTGATTATAACATGATCCATAGATTCTGCAGGCCGACAGGTTCCCATCTTCCTGGAATTAACTGCTGTTTCAAAATTCATGTCCCCATTCATTCGTTTTTCATGACCTAACATAAATTATTGTAAAATGAATGACATAATTTCCTTACAAAGTAATGTCAGAATAGAAAAAATAAATTATACTGAAGTTGGGCTAGAATGTGTGGAATAGAATATGAGGCATTTCGTCTTATTTGCGGCTCGTCAGCCCCCTACATCCCACTGAGTGGTGTTGTTCCCACTGATACTCGAACCATCCACCCATCACTTCAAACTCCACGGTGTTGATCATTAGGTCACTGGGATATGACACCGAAAGGGTATCAGTTGTTATTTGATACTTGTAATTTTCCGGTTACCCTATTAGGTTGAATTATGCGACCTCTGTAAGGAGTTTGTACGACAAGACATTCGACCTAAATCAGATTGCCATTCTATGCTCTGTTCTGTGATGATGCGTAGGGTTTCAATTTGTTCCGTACATGATATAAAGAGTAAACAAAACCTAAATACAGAACTTTATGTAGTTTATTTCAATTTTGTTCAGAAGGTTTTAGGAAACTGATTGAATTCAAGGTAGTCTACCTAATGGATTGACATCAGTCGGACACCTTTGATCCATAGGGTAACATTTATCTTCTTATCAAGTGAAAGTGGCTTGAACATCAGTTACCTATTTGATCTAATTGGAAAACGGCAGTTAATTTACTAACTACTTTTTGTAAGACATCCTTCTTATATTATCAGTTGCCTTCAAGTTACTTTCAAAATTTTGTTAAGCATAATGTACTAACATAATTATACTGAGTGATGATTGAAGGTGAAATGCTGGTTTGGACCATGACTGGATTCGAATTAAGGACCATTGGATTTCCAGCCTGATGCCCTGCTAACTCACAGAAGGGGTCCAACTGATGAATAGACTTTCATTTCACTTCAATCACCAAGGGTTCTTCCCGACTACCATGTGACTTCATGACGCGTTGCTACTGCTTGATCGCATTCATATTGACTAACTGGTCACTGGTCGCTGGTTCGAATCCGGACGTGGTTCAAACTTTCATTTCACTTTCAATCATCACCTAGTATAAATATTAGTCTGCTAAAGTACGACTACCTCAGATAGTCAAATGATAATCAACATGATCCTCTCCCTCTCTGTTCCAGTTAAATTTGAATTGGCATAAGACGTCCTGACTAGACAGCCAGTATGAATACAATCGAGCGATGGTAGCGCCTCACGAATTCACATGGTAATCAGGCAAAACCCTTGGAGAGTAGTCGGACCTCGTAGTTGAGTTGGTAGAGAATCAGGCTGAAAACGTGATGGTCATTGGTTCGAATCCAACAGTGGTTCAAATTTTCATCCCACCTCCAATAAACTACAACTATCTCTAATAGTTAAATGATAACGTGATTATGATTATTCAGATAGTGAATATTATGTTGAAAAAACATATTAGAATTGTTTGTTTATTTTATTGTTCTAAGTTTCTTTTTTCTCCTTCTATTGAACTTTACTTTATAGAGACAATGACACAAACATTAGATGTTCAACCGAATTCATGGTATTTATTCAATATTAAACAAGCTGGATTTTATCGTGTTCATTATGCTGACAATAATTGGGAATTGTTAACTGAACAATTATACAAAGACTATCGAGTATGTGTTGTTATTGTTCCACCCTGAATATCTTCGTTATCAACCAGTAATTCATTATGAAAATGTTTGATATATGAAATACATTCTGTATTTATGCCAATCAATTTCTAAAAACTTCCAATATGTTGTATTCATTGTATTGAAGGAAGCATAATGAATAGACTTCAGTTTAGTAAATGATAACTTGATTGTCAATAAAAACTCCTATGAATGAGGATTTCAATCCCCGTAATTAAGGGAAACATCACTGTTGAACTAAGTGAAAGATTTAGTATTATTGCTTGTAATATATCATCGTTGATTGGACGGAATTGATCAGTCTCTATTGGTACATGGACTCCTGCATAGATGCCTCAATATTACCCGTGTTTTAATCATAGTAATGATGAATAGTTGACAAGTCCTAAATAGGACGAATTACATATCCTGGATTTCAATACTATCTATCTCTCCATCATTATTAAAACTGGAAGATCGTTTTGTTGTTGTTTTCGTAGTCAGACTATGAAGTAAACTTACTTCTCAATATGATGATTACTTCCAGTATATCATAAGCTTCATTTACTGTTCATTTTTATAACAAAATGTATCAAACTTTAAAGCGTATTTCAATTTTTTCTAATTCTACCCACCTTTCTAATGATGTCTGATGCTGAAAAGTCATGAGTATGTAGTTTGCCTAACAGAGTTTCAACTGATCCCATTTCATTATTTTAGGCTATTCCACTTCATTCACGAACACAAATTCTGGATGATTTATTCAACTTAGCAAAGTAAGTATAGTCATTCAATGTTTATTTGGAGGTTTGTAAGAATTTTTCGATTGATTTCAGGTTAGCATTCATCATGGAATGATATCAGTTGGAGAAGCATTGGAAAGCTGAGAGGACTGCGTAGCTGTGTTTTCCTCAATGGGTGTCTTCAGAAGGTGAGTGGAGTGGAGTGGGCACTAATGACCCTGTCATGACCAGTATGGTCAGACAAATTGGATGTGAGGGCAGTTATTCAATGACGACATAGTATCGAGGCCGCGCTATGTCACGAACACATAGAAATAGGAAATTTGTACCATTGGATTGTGACCCAGATGATCAGTGATTACGGGGTGATCGCCAAACCTGGATGTTGTACGTCCCATCCCTACTGGAGTCATGGGTAAACATTACTGAGGAGTCCCATGATTCAACATAACAGATGTCCAGTGCTCCCAGGTTTCCGGTGTTTCTCCAAACGAAGTCAGTCAGTCAGTCATTCTATTCCAAGTAGTTTATATTCGTGTAGCGGTGACAATGTTCACTAAGGCAATATTTAAACTTACATCAACATGAAATTTTAAGTCACGTATAGAGTGAACAAATAAATGTGGCCTGTATTGAACAGTGTGCCAATTATTTCATGGAAGATGAACTGTTACTTTCTTGTGAAATCTAGTCATAAAATGATCTGAAGCAACATGTGTACCTCAGTTATGAAGGACATCGTTTACAACATGTATATATTCATTCTATTGAAATGATGAATGTCTATCTAAAATCTGAGAGATAAATGTATGTAATACACTCCAAACCAGTTATTATTGCAATTCAGTAGTTCAGTGCCTCTTTTACTCACTTTGATCAGATTTAATTATACATGTAAAACGATTTGGATGATTGTGATGGGAGCTGAACACACTGCGTATTTCTCTCCCTCAGGAATGAACACGCGACTTCATAGACTGTACAGTTGTTATCTCATCTAACTACTGAGTACTATTGGATGAGGAAACATGATGAAATTAACTTGAAGTCGATTAGAAGATGCAAATTTTATTGTTTTACTTTCGACTGTTGAGAAAAATTTGAAATCCAGTGGTTACACTTCTGTGCAGGATTAGATGGTTGCTCGTATATCTGTATGTACTGATGTAAACACTACAATTATTTTATTTCAGTATATTTCAAAATGCTTATACACAGGGAATTATAACATTCTTGTTAGCTAGGTAAACATTTATATTAAGTGGTTTGAGGCAGTTGTCAGGATGCTATTGGCGTAGGTTTCTTAATGTGAACACTGAGGAGTAATAAGGTTTTTATGAAGATTTTGTGGAATTGGCATCTCGTTAGACATTTGAACCAGAGTCATTCAGCGGTGAAGTCAAAGATGGTATGACTTTTAGTTATTGTCCAAGAAAATGTTGGCTATTTTCCCCAATCATTAGAATTCTAATCAGATTTAACTTATCATGATTTAGAAGGTGAATAATTTCCAATTGATTATTCATTTAATCAAACATTAATTATTCTCTGTTGAATGCTTCAAGTCGTGCTGCTGTGTCATATACCGTCTATCTAAATTTGACGAAATATTTGAAGAAAGAAGATCAGTATGTTGCCTGGGAAACAACACGTCGAGCACTTTCCTATCTAGACCGTATGCTTGCTATGGACGAGAATTATGGAGCATTCCAAGCATATTTACGAATACTTGTAGATGAACCGCTCAAATTAATCGACTGGACTACCATGAGAGAAGATACAGATCATATGAAGCAGTAAGTTCCACTCATTTTGCCATATTTTAGAATTTGTATTAATTCGATATATGAATTTTGGAGGGATAACTAGTTCACTAGTTACTAGCCGATCCTAAGCCCGGATAAGAGGGAAAGTTGGACATAATAGGGCTAGCAACCCTACACCGAAAAACCAATCTAACCGCTAGAGAAATTTCAAAGCACAAAGAAAGCATAAAAGATAAAATCCAATGTATTCCTCGCTGTAATCGGAGAGGTGAAATGACGATGGTTGGTGAAAGCCTTCACAAAGTCAACTGGTCATGCCGATGTGTCTTCTCTCCCTCGATGAAAGCGAAATTCAACATAGAGACATGAATGTCCTCACCATGTATGAAGCTAGCACGACTGACCAGATTGCAAAAGAGATGAGAAGGTATAGCATAGAAGTGAGAGGCTAGGAATCTGTGAGGAATCAGCAGATGGAATGGAAGTGGACGCTCCAAACTGTCAACTGGAGAGGTTTCATGCTTCATAGCACTCATCAAGGGCTTATCTGTAACCACAAGGAAATCCGCATCACTCAGTGATTTGGTGAGAGGCTTCACCATCAAAGCATTCAAGTCATGACTGATCTCTTTAGGTCTTGGCCAAACGATTTAGTTGTCTAGTCATTTGTGCTTATCATTGATGAAAGTCTTGAAGGATAACCCTATTGGCTTAGATAACCTAATCGATTATCCACTTGTAACCAATTCTCACTCATAATTTCTGTTTTACTACCCATCAAGCATTTCGATTGGACAATTCAATCATTTAGATGTCACAACAGTAAAGGATTCATTATGCATCATCAGTGTAGTACACTGAAGAGATGTGTCTATTCTAACTAATTCATAAAGATAATGAAAAGGAAATCTGTTACAGCTTAACTGACACTGACACAAATCTATGAATTGTTTGTATACATCTTTTCAAATAGTTGAATGAAACCATCTTTTAGTAGAGTAAAGTTGATGTTTATATTTTCATTTATTTCATTTTAGCATGTTACGCTTAACTTTAACAAGATTGGCATGTCAAGCTGAACACTATTCATGTGTTAAAATGGTAAAAGAATATTATCAAAAATGGATGAACAATCCTGAAGAGAACTTGTTAGTCACTTATTGATTTCATCATCATATTGTAATTGTGTTCAACTGGTCTATCTAATGGCTCACATAGTAGTTAGTGCCTTCCTTATGTGATGGTGATTATCCATTGGAATTAAGTTGTTTAATCAAGATAGGCTTAATATTGAAAGTAATCATTATCATCATGAGTAGTGTTTTGCTAGAATAACTTTTCAAGTTGTTATTCATCGTCGACTGACATCATTTGGAGGAAGAAAGGAAATGTAGAAGGACTGGACAGCTGTTTCGTCCTAGTATGGAACTCCCCAGCAGTGCTTACCCACGACTCCACTAGGGATCGGACCTGTGACTTCCAGGTTCCGTGGCCAGCACCTCGCGCATTAAGCCACTGAATCAGAATCCAATCTTCCATATTTCCAACTTCTGTTAGCTCACGATATAGTGCAACCGTCACCCAATATCATTGTTGAGTTACTGTCCTCACGACCATCAGACTTTGTGTTTATTAACTAAGGGTCAAATAATAATCATCTCTAGTGATGAGTTATTGTTCAAATGGAATGAAAATCATAAGGTAGGTGTTGACCATGCTGTGAGTCAAGGTAAACAAAGTGGATGTACATCTATTTCTTCTAAACACATAAGTCGAGTTTTCTTGCGTTGATCCCTATGTCTTCGGTTATGGATAAGATGCAAAGTCGTGCACCTTTAGGCAGATTGTAAGGGAGGGAGGTAGGAAGGGACACGATATATCACAGAAAAGACATGGTCTATCTTGATCTGGTGTTTGGTGTATACTAGATGTGAGAGGATTGCATCGTTGATGCTCTTTGTCATTCCTTGACCAAGATGGCACATGTTCATGAGCGCCCATGGATAGAGCTCAAATATTTATTAGCTACAATTATCTAATGTATTTTATAGATTTAAGAAGGTGTTTCTTTATCAGGTGTGGTGTATGTTGGTAATAAACCATGAGAACAATTACTTGAATAGTAAGTAATAAGTAACTACCAAGAATTTGTCTAGTAGTTTGTACGTGTAAGAATTTGACTGGAGAACAACTTGATGTTATTGTAGTCATGAGTATATAGAATGAAATTCTGAACAATCAGTAAGTGGGGATAATTTAGAAAGTGATGATGACCCTTATTTAGTTGGTCATGTAGGTCATTGTAGAAAAGCTTATCCATTTGATTGAAGTTTTTTCTATTTCCTTGTATCCAATTCTTACCTGAATGTGTTGGATTGGGTGGGAAGAGGTTTCATGATGGCCAGATGAAGGTGTGGCATCACCAGTCTATGAATTCCCTCTAACTGTTGATTTTAGGTGTGTAGGGAGATGTAGACTGCATGGTTGGGATCTCCAGGACCAAATGAATCATCGGTTGACGACTATTGATACAATGAAGGAAAATCGGTGACACAGGCACAGATATATTCATTCTGTGGTGTCTTCTAAAGCTTGAATATTTACACTAATCTATCTCTATCTTCTAACTGTTTGTTCTCTCATACAACTTTTTCGACTTTGATTTCATTCTTTTTTCTGTCTACATGTTCCTTTTGAGTCGATGTAACTGTGTGCGAGGTTTTATGTTGATTTCTTCAATCGATCATCTATTTGTAACTCACTAGAAATTACACTTTTTTTTCTTAACTTGTACCTTGAATGCTTAGGATACCGCCAAGTTTGAGACCAGCTATCTACTGTACAGCTATTCGTATTGGTGGTCAAAAAGAATGGGAATTTTTGAAGAGTAAATTATTAGTAGTGGATATTAAAGAAGAGGAGAAAAGTAGTATTCTACAGGCACTTTCATGTTCTCGTGATATGTGGATTATGAGACTGTAAGTTGAGATTTTCTTATAATAATAATACTAATGAACTTAGTGGGTTTCTGTGTACAATGAAGGATAATTATAACTTGAAAGCTTCACCTATAGAAATCATTTTTAATGTATATTATCATACAGTGAATTTATATTCTCACCTTACACGGTATTTATCAAATGAGAATTGTAAACTATTTTACTGAGAATTTTATTCAGTCAATTATGATCTGGAGATTTGTAATGATTTCGATTTCAAACTGTACATCTAAGTTACACTGACTGATTAAACATTTTTACTCATTGATGAATGACAATAGTGACAGTAATAAGCTTTGTAAAATGATGTTTGCTTCAATAAGATAATACATGTGAAATTACTATTTATTTTATATGTCAATGTATAAGTGATTGGATATATCAGGTTTACAAGAAGCATAAAAACTGTATTCGAGATATAGTTGTGAGAGAAAATGGCCTCATTTTATTGGGACATAACGTATAGCTAATGAAGGCAGTTGATGAAATCACAATGATATTCATCATGAAGTGATATTCATTTGAGAAGTATTGAAAGCCTGTTATGACTGGACACTACACTTGCTTCATCTTAGTATATCCACCTTTCAGTAGGGAGTAGATTCCATGTGATGAATAGGTAGTCAGCGTGATTACAATGAACAGAGATGATTACTACTAATCACACATTCACATAACAATCAACAAAAACCTTGTTTGTATAAATAAATCAAGTGAACTGAAGATCTAGTCTTCATGTGAGTGTCATACATCAGTCAGTCAAATGATAGATAACCTGTTGTATTGTATCCAACCATAATTCGAAATTGCATTTTATCCTGTATCTATGTAAATTAGTTAATCATATCATATTTAGGCATAATATGTTGCTGTTGTTGTTGTTGTTGCTGTTGTTACTAGTTAGTCAAGTAAATATAATTTCTTCTATTTTATCACAACTGAAAACAGACATTTGAATTGGATTATAAAAAACAATGAGAATGATCCTCAAGATTTACTGGATGCTCTGTCATCAGTCGCCTTATATCCAATTGGTCAAACGCTACTTGGGAGCATATTCGTGAAGCATGGAGATATATATTAAACGAGTAAGGTTTATTTTTGAGGAAAAATAGTTATCACCTTTTTTTCAATGTTGATTAATTCACATTAAACTGGATCATTCGTTGAATATTTTGAAATTAGTCGAATAACTTGAAAGAAAAAGTAACTCATCTCTATGGAATGATTGGAATGGTTGATAAAGGGAATCCCCAAAAGATAATGAATAAGACTTCAAATACTGTCAATTGAAATTTCCTTAGTAGTTTAGTCACAACTGATAGAATGAAGCCAATTACTCCATTGGATTATATTCTACAAATAACCTAACCGACTTCCATTTATCTTAGACATTGATCAAGTTATATTCCGTTTATGTGCACAAAGTAAACTAAAATTTGAGATTTGCTTAGATTTTATTCAACTTTATGTGTTGTTAGTACAGATGTATTGTGTAATATTCATTAGAATATTATATCTACCTATTTTCCAGTTAACTTCTCTAACCTAAGTATCTTTGTGTGTTTCATAAAAGAAACAGTTTTATCGAACACACATGTACAATTGTTGTGATGTAGAGAATTTTCGCATGTTTGTCTATAGGAAATTTTTATTACTTATCTTTCTGTATGATGAATGATTGAAGGTGAAGTGAAAATTTGGACCGTGACCGGATTCGAACCAGAGACCACTGTGTTTCCAACTCGATGATATAACAACTGAACTAAGAAGTTCGACTGCTGACCATATTTGTATTTCACTTCAATCACTAGTGGTTTTGCTCAACTATTGTGTGAATTTGTGACGTGCGTTGTGATTGCTGGATTACATTCACAATGGCTGCCGGAAATCCAGTGGTCACTGGTTCGAAGCCGACCTTGATTCAAATTTTCATTTCACCTTCAATCATCAGTATGAATAGTATGAATAATAGTCTGCCAAGCCATGGCTATCTCACATAGTCAAAATGATAATCATGATAATATGATGCTTCCGTGCTGTGATTCAGTTAGATTTCGATTGGTCTGAGAAGTCTGACAACTAGGCAGCCAGTGTGAATAAGATGAAGCGGTAATTACGCATCACAAATCCACATAGTAGTCGGGTAATACCATTGATGATTGGAGTGAAATAAAAATCTGGTCAACAGTTGAACCTTAAAGCTGAGATGATAGAAATTGAGCAGGAAACCCAGTGGTTATTGATTGGTTGGAATCCGGAAACTTCGAATTGTCATTTCCCCTTCAATCATCACTCAGTATCAATACCACTTTGTCAAACTATGCCTTTCACAGATAGTCGAAATGATAACTTACCTTTCTATTTTCTATTTTTAGTGGTAAAAACGCTACTCAACCTTCAACGAAAGCGTGAGTTCAATTACAAGTCACTAATTATTGTTGCTTCCTTTTGATTAAGTTAATAGTAATCCCTGCCTGCCTCCACCTGACCGACTAACCACTCGCTTTATTCAAATGATATGTATATAGGTGATATAGATTTTCAATGTTTTATGCTAATGTTAACCATTTGGAAAAAGAAGTTGAAATATTCTCCTCTTCAATACAATATACACTAATGAATTTTTATATATTATTATATCATTTTCAAGTTTTTATAATTCATTGTAACTTAAGATGAACTTTCATTACAAAATATCCCGTTTTAATTTATAGGCTATTTCAGCTTTTATTATTATTATTATTATTATTTTAAAGGATAATTAATTTTACTAGATTAAAATGATGTTTCAACATTTCCTGTTGAATACATCCAGTTGACAAGTTCCAAATAGAATGAAACATGAGTCTTAGATTTCACTACTGGACACACTTTTCAGTATTACTATCCAACTGAAATCATTGACAATATCATCAAGGCATATGCATAAGAGTCAATATCCTAATCAACACTGATCATCAATTTGATCCAATTAAATGATGTGCAATTATAACCAATAAAATATATTTGTAGCCTTTTATTGTTGATAAGATTTACACACAAAGATGAAGCAGTTTAATAGTATTCTGATTGTTTCATAATTCAATAGGTAGGTAGGTAGGTAGGTAGGTCGGGATAGATTGAAAAGTTAACAGGATAACATTTTAAAAGATAAATATAACTAGATTTATTGGATAGATAATTTTGAATCTTGTGTATAGGAGTAAACAGAAGTGATTTGATCAACAGTCGGAACCAGTTTAGTCAAAGCGTAAGTGAACCTTAGTTACTTTTGTGTAGTTCCTGCTGGTAAGCGATGCATTCCAGTGGATATCGAGCAAAATTGATAATGTTTGTGAATAAGCAAATAGTTGAGTTGTTTTTTTTACTTTCTTACCTTTTTTAGATGTGTACTAACTGTGATGCTGAAAATACTATCAAAGCGCCATTACACACTGAACAATATACCAGATCAAGAGGAAGTTAGTGTGAAATTTTTATGTGATTACTATTTTATTATATTTTACCTTTTTCGTGAGACTTTCAAAATGTATAAAACTATGCTGCCTTGACTAGACTAGTGGATGAAAGAGACAACTACCTTTCGATGTCTCCCATTCATTGTCATTGGTGGTTGTTGTTGTTGTTGGTGGTGGTTGGTTGGGTGTTTTAATAACCTGTGTCTTGTGTATATTGACCTGAAGTTCTGTCTTCCTTCGCTGCCTTGCCCTGCCTATTCTCCTAACTTGTTTGTTTGTGTCACATTAGATATAAATCATCATCGGTGGGAGAAATTCAAATCTTCTTCTGAGGTCTTTTCATCGGTTCAGTCAGCGTGTCCCTCTCTTCTCGTTCCTCACAGGTTCTCTTGCATAATGCAGCCCACAACAATGAGAGAGATGATCGGTGATAGTAAGCAACCTTGTCTTGTCTTACTCCTGTCACAACAATTTCAAAGGTGTCACTGAGCTTTGCATTATGAATCACTTGGCATGTAGCCTCATCATATAGCATATAACTGTTGAATGAGGTTGATAAAGGTTTGTGGAAGTACAAGCGTAGTGTTGTAACAGTTGGCTTATTATCTGTTGGTCGACGCCTGGTTAGAAGGCCTTTCCAAAATCAATGAAGTTGTGATGAAAACTTGAATAATAATAATAATAATAATAATCCAAAAGTGTATTGATTGATATAAATGGATTGATTATCTTTTAAAGGTACTTGATATGCAAAATACTGGACAAAAATTGCTTGAAAATCATGTACTCAAACGTGGATTTGCTGATCTATTTAGAAGATCTAAAGAGAATGTGAAATGGACAAAATCTCATCGTGGTATTATTAGTCAATGGTTGAATGAAAATATTCCAAATACAACAGTATTACTTTAAACAAGAATTTATATCTTTTCTTTATTATACATACACACATACACACACACATACACACACACATATACATACAGTGATTAATTTGTATCATTATTTGAGCACTGTTCAATAATCAACCCTTATACATACATATGTGTGTGTGTGTGTGTTTATAAATATGAGTCTATATGCATGTGATTGATTGATTGATTGATTGATTGATTGAGTGAGTGAGTGAGTGAGTGAGTGAGTGAGTGAGTGAGTATATGATAAAGATTAGCCTGATTTGTGTTTCTTCCTTCTTAAATCAACATTTGAATATGAAACATTGAATAGTAATGTGAAATATTCTTCCCTTTTTTTGTTGGTTTCTGTGTGTATCCCACAATTTTGTTGTAGCCTCTCATATTTTCAATCTACTTACACTAATATTTGTCTGTTTTATGGAAGATATTCACCAAATTGATCAAATTGAACGTTGATATTATTATTATTCACCAGTCAATACTTTCAGATGACTATTATATAATGAGTGAATCTCGTTAACAGACTGATGATATAAAGTGGCAGGGGGCAGGGGTGGGGTGGTGTTCTTTCTTAATAAATAACTTAAGATATTTGTAGAGAAAAACATTCAGTATAAAATATAATACATATTCAACTGTTTCTCATTTTCACTGAATATCTACATCTTATTGTAAATTAATCCTCGTTTAATAAGTATCCGAGTCATGTTTTGGAATATTCACATTCTCTTGAAACACTAATATATATAAACAAATAAAAAAGTTTTCATGTGATATATATGAAACAGAGTTGTTGTTTCACAATAATCAACACGATTGAAAAAAATACCCCATAAAGATTAAATGTTCAATGAGCACAATTATTGTCTACCAATGAGAATCAGTTAACTAACTATTTTATAATATGTTGAAATATACCCATTTATTGATGATTAACAAGAACAAGGCATGTATCAGTGAAGAAGAAGAAGAAGAAGAAGCATTTCTTTTCAACAACTTCATTATATCAAGTTGTACAGTGATATTTATACTGAGTAAAATGATAGATAATTGCACTGAGTCAATAGGCAAAATATACAGTGGGTGAAGGGGTGGTGATATTTGTTCAAGTGGAAGAGATAGACAATGGGTGATTGAATAAAGAGGAATGAATTGATAACAAGTGGTGAGATGAGGGATAAGTGTGCTGTCAAAGAATTGTAAAACGGTGATAATTAAGCTGAAACATGTACAATAAGTCAATGATTAGGGAATGAATTGATATTAAAGAGTGAAATATGGTTCAAGTGTTGTCAGTGAAGTGAAAATTGATAATGATGATGATAATGATAAAAGAGAAGTATACCAACAACAAAATGAATTGTTAAGGCCAAGGTAGAGAAAGTGGTTTCACAAAACATTTTGGAATGCAAAGTTTCAGTTTTTGTTCATGTATAGCTAATGCATTCAGCTATACATAAGTGGTGGAAACGTAAACCTTTGGAGTAGTTCAATTTAACTTTGTAAATTATTTTAAAGGATGAATCTCGAGGTGCTGAGTGACCCAATTCAACAAGGTGTTCACATATGGATGAAGTCGTTCTCCTTTGGTCGCCTCTGATAAGCCAAACCGGGTAGTGTTCAGCAACACGTTTTCTGAGGGCCCGCTTACAACGTCCAATATAGTCAGCTCCACAGGAGCATATGAACTTGTAAATACACATAGATGTGGACTTAAGTGGAAGCCTATCCTTCACACATTATGACGAATCAGACGGTGGCTGGACAATATCAATCTCAGCATAGCACCACTGAAGCTACTACTGATACATCTTGACAGACGATTTTACAGAACTTCAGCTGTGGTGTCTCCTTTGAATTCTAGATTCATGGTTAGGATTTTCTAAGGGGCTGTAATAGGATGGGGAGTGGTTCGTTTCTTCACATTCTTATCAATAAATCTTTCAGGGTATCCACTATTCGATAGTATTATTCTGCGAGGCATCGAAAAGTAGTTGTCTCTTTCACCTACCTACCTAGACAAGGTAGCATCGTTTCAACTACAGCAGGCGATGGCGGTGACGGCACAGATGAGGATGTCGAAGCCGCCAGGATGGGGAAGACAAGCACATAGGCTTGTCTTCAGTAATCTGAAATAATCAGTGTGGAGATCTACTGCACCGCACCGCACCGCACTCCACTGCACGGCACTGCACTGCACTCAGCATAAAGCGTGAACAACATCCCGATTTTCAACACTAATTTAAGTCAAGTCAGTTCTTCCAAGTGATGCTTGAGAGTCTTCACGGTGGGTTAAGAAAAGCATTTTCAACAAACTGTAGACATACATCACATCATCACCTGATGCCTACGCTCACTCGATTCTTACACTGAAAATCAGATAGATTGCCAGAGAGAATGAGCATCAAGGAACTCACTCTGGCTGGCAACAAACAAACCAACAACCCAATCGCCCAACGCATCTGCAGAAGAGAGTGGAGATAGATTGGACTGGAATGGAGAGAGACAGAGAACACTGTTTGTGGACAATACACGTCTAGCCAGGTCATCTAGTGGAAGACAAATGGGAAAAAATGAGTTGGGCGTCCGAAGCGATGGTGACATGCAGAACATTGTGTGAGGAAGAAATGAGGGCTTATGGGGTTTCGTAAATCCAGGTTGAGGCAACTGCAGAGAAGAGAGCGAAATGGAGACGTGTTACTGAAGCCCTATTTTGCACCAGGAACCCAATGGACAAATAAATAATATAAAAATAATAATCTTATTAACAGGCTTTTGTTTATTTCTGAGAAACCTCCACTTCATACTGACTAGATTTCTGGAGAACTGATAATTCTATTTTGCATTCCGCGTATCAAAGTCATAGAAACACTTTTGTCTAGACAGTTCAATTTTACTCAACATGAGAGGTTTGTGAGAGCATAAGGTTGTAAGTGAAAAATTCATAAGCCAATCAGATGATGATAGATTGACTCGTGTTAACCTGCGTCGATTACGTTTACTTCAACATGATGCGACAATATAACTTGCGTTTAATGTAAGTCACGAAGAAATTACCTGACCCTATGATGAATATGATAAAAGAATAATCATCATTCTAACCTTCTTCAATAGCTAAAGTATAAATAGCCTAATATAATGATAATATGGTTCGTGTGAACCCACAAAAATAACAAGCAAACATAATTCATTTTGGTGACTACCATTGGAATCGTCCTATTTATGACTTATCAGCTAGATATAACCCCACCCCATCCCACTAGATGATGTTGTTTCCAGTGAGAGACAAACCCATCAAGCAATCATTAATTTAAATGCCGTGTCATCGACTAGGCCACTTGGGCATGAGAGGCTTCTGTTGTACAACAGGTCTCAGTTGTTGTTTGATACTTGTAATTACCCGTTGCTATACTGTGTCAAATCACCCGACCTGTTTTGAAATATGCTCTCTGATGCGGATGCCTCGATACACAGGTCGAGTAACTGAACACTGTAGAGCAGCGGGAAATAACGAGTATCGAATCAACAACTGATACCCGTTTCAAAACAGATCGGTGTCGTGTCCAAGTGGTCTGGTGGATAATACTTTGAAGTTTATATCAATGGATAATTGAATTCCCGTCAGGATTGTGGGTACATAGTCTTGAGGAGTCTTGTACTAGAGTGAATGAAACAGGTGTCCAGTGCTCCCATGTTTTCAGTGGTTCTCCAACTGATATCAGTCCTTGGTCAATACAACTTTGATAATCCTTCAGTCAACATTTACCTAAATGTATTCTAATTATTATGATCAAATTAGGCTCACAGTGTGGCTACAAATTTACTCATAGTGGTAATTCTAAGTATCTCGATTATTAATCAACACAATACTCTAGAGAAACTGAAAATTCTTATTGATTTTATCAAGAAAGCATGTACTTATGAATTGATTTGAAGTGATGCTGAAACTTCCCTCATCAAATATGAAAACTGTGATCACAATAAATACTATTCATACTTTTATATAATCATATTGAACAGAATAGATAGATAGATTAGTACTTGGGAATTGTAATTGTTCAATGCAAACTAAGATGGGTGAATACATACCCAAATGACTACAAAAAACAGTTTAATACACAAACTTTGATAAGTCCAGGTGACAGACATCCATCGTCATCTATACCAAAACATCTTCATCGAAATGAATCACACGGTTGTTAATACGAAAACAGCCTTCAAGATATTATATAGAAATAGTCAACGGTGCATACTGATGTTTGCTGAAGCATTAGCCACACGTAAACTTAAGGCCCCGCTATGCGTACAAAAACAATTTGTTGTTTCACTTAATTTACCTTGACTATCCTTATCTGATTAGATTACAGAGACTAGTGAGTGTCACAACCTTTTCATTTTCATTATATTTAACCTTTAATTTTCATATGTAAGTAAATGTGTGGGGGATCAGATTGTTCGGAATGTACTGAGCAAATACATCACATATTGTTCAGATAATCTTTGTCTTCTAATAACCTTATCGAAATTTATTAAAGGGACTAATTGTTTCAAATCTAAACTAGTTGATAATTTTATAGACAATGTAAAAATCTAGTTGACCTACTTGTGATCATATACTTTTATCTGTTACGTAACGATGTGTATGTAAATGGAGTGGTGAAAACTGTTTCCACACACGGTTCCCCCAGGCTAATAATTGATATGAGTGGCTTATCATTTTGACTGTCTAAGGTAGCAGTGGTTTGGTAGACAAATATTTATACTGGGTGAAAATTGAAGGTGAAGTGAAATTTGAACTGCAGAGACTACCGACTTCCTACTCAATGCTCTACTAACCAAACTATGAGGTCCGACTGCTGATCAGATTTTTACTTCATTTCAATCACCATCAGGTAGTATGTTTGAAGTAGACAATTATCTCGTTGACTATTGACAACATCTTACTATCGCTCAATCTACATAGTCAACAAGCATCATATGCATTTCCCCTCTGAA